CTAACATTTTTATTCATAAAGAAAGAACAAATGCATTCATAGAATTATTTTTATTGCTCGCGTTTTCTTTAAAAAGGTAAAATAAATAAATATTAATGTTTAGTTTAAATAATGTTTTAAATTTTCCATTACAGCGTAAAATAGAACCAAATGTCATTATCACAAAATTAACGAAAAACGATTTAAGAATGTTTGACGTAAATTTAAATGTCATATAATAAAATTTATTTCGATATTCTAAAAACGCGTTGAACGAAATATTAACCATGATGCTCCTCGGTCATTTTTCTACGTTCTTATTTATTTACTCAAGTTGAGCACGAAATTAATTTTTCAAACCAGAAGGGCCGATATTAAAGTGCACCGCAGTGGATTACCCCACCACGAGGCATTGTTTCAAAAATAGCCAAAGCACTCTTGGAATTTCCCTTGCGGAGCAACTCAGCTATCGGGCAAAAACAAAAACAAAAACAGTCCCTCTTTGCATCGAGATGGGTGTTGCCTGAAGGAGCAGTATTCTGGGAGGAAATAACCAAAATTTAGATACTTAATTAACTCGATAATTAATTAGAAGATTATGTAATATTTTGCAAACCTTTAACAATATATCCCAAAACCAATATGCCAAATTCTCAGGTTTAAGGCAACCCTCTAAAATTTCTATTTTTAATTCTATTGGTATGAGGGGAGGTAAAAGTTAGGATTTGATAGTATGATTAATTTGGCTTGAAAAGTTACCCCTAAATTGCAACAGTAAAAGAAATAATTGTACTTAAGAAACCTAATCTATCATTTCAGATATTACCCAGTTTCCAGCAATGCCCCCCAAAGTGTTGTGTCATTGCTTGGAAAAACAAATTATAGAAGCCAGCAAGACAAATCTATCTGTGAGATGAATAAAATATTAATTTATTATTAGATAATAAAATTAAGATGAATAAAATATTTGTTTATCATTTTCCAAAAGACAAAAATAAGAGAGAGTGATGGAGAAAATCAGTTTCGTATGCCAATCTGAATGTTACAAACAAGACAATTATTTGTCAACTACCATAGTCTTTAAATTTTGATATCATAGAAGTTAATGAAAAAAATGCGCCCCCAAAAATTCACCATCTGTATGGCCATGTGTGCCAAAGTGTCAATTACCGACACCTTCTGCTGTTCAAAGGGATATAAAATACCGTTCAGTACTGCTCGAAATCAAAGTGATGATGAAATAAATTCTCTTTTTAGAATTAGATAAGATTAATTATACAAATATGAAAGAAAGTCTAATCAACAACAAAAAGACTTTGTGTGTCCAATTGTAGCATTTTTGACTGAAAATATTTTAACTGTTCAGTCATCAAAAGTTATCGATGGTATCCTTCTCTTTATGTTGAAAATTTATAAAAATTTGCTGTTTGAAATCTTTCATTATGAAGTTAAGTGTTATATTAGCAGCATGTCTCAAAACCGTATAAATACAATTGATACTTGATGAACATTGGAAGAAATTATCCGATATTTAAATTCTATGGCTTTTGATTATAAGAAGGATGTCTTGTCAGCACTTTTCAGCAATGGCTCATAAAATGGTTGGAATGAAATACAGCTCGGATATAGTAATACATGCTTTTGGATACTATACAACATCACAGTTATTGTATAATAGATTAAGACAGGATTTTCAATTACTATCATTAGAAACATTAAGAAGAATGATGTCAAAAGTTTCAAAACTTAATAAAAAATCTTTTTTGCTATCTGTATTTAATACTCTTAATGCCAATCAAAAAAGGTACATAATTCTCCATGATGAAGTATATAGTAAGAAACTGTTACTATATCATGGCAAATAACTATTCGTTAAGTCAGTTGGCAATCCATCTCCATTTGCTCAAACAGTACTTGGTATAATGTTGATAAGTCTTAATGGGGGTCCAAAATTTCTTACAAGATTGATTACAATTTCAAAATTAACACCAGTCTTTTTATTTGAACAAACTGAGTTAACAGTTCAGGCCATCACCTCTGTACCAGCTGATGTAAAGGCTATTATATGTGATGACAACCGAGTAAATTATATACCACACTCCTTGAAAAACGTTGGTTAACTGAAGATAAACATTTGGTTTTTGATTATTTTCATCTGTTGAAAAATATTCGCAATTTATGGCTCACAGAAAAGACAGGAAAACTAATCTTTGATGATAATGAAATAAAACAAATAGTAAAATTGGCACATTTTAAACATTTATATCATTTTGAAAGACTAGTTAAACTTTCAGATTTAAATGAAATTTTCATTGCTCCAAAGCCCATAAAAATACAACAGGTTTCTACTTGCCTCACAGTGTTTTTAGAAAAAATAAAGATGATGCATTTTTCACTCAGATTCGAATAAATGCAAATAAGTATGATACTGCTATTTTCATAAACAAGGTTTAGACATGGTGGAAACTTTTAAATGTTTAGACCTTTCAAATTGATAAACTATGCAATGACCCCCTACAAACTGAAATCAGATCTAAAAGTAACAGCCAACTTGATTTTATCATTGAGTTTAATCAAATGGCTCTTAATATGTCTGAAAGTTTAGGTAATCGTATAAAACAATTATCCAAACACATTGTTACGACCATCCACCATGCTTGCAATGGAATTGTTAGTCTATGTCAATACCTTTTAGCTACATGCAATGAATATGTGCTACTTGGGCAAATTTACAACTGATCCATTAGAAAAAAGAATTTTGTAAACTTCGTCAAGGATCAGGTGGTACCTATGTTATAAATGTCTAACATAAATGTCTATTGAAAAGCTGCATATTAAGCAGACATTTTTACTTTTAAATCAAAATGTAAATATTGATGCTTTTGATGTTAAGCCAGGTCACCAATGTGCATCTTGTGATTATAAACTTTGTGAGGAAAGTTCAGAAATATTTGACAATCTGGAAAACTTAGAACCATCTCATTCTGTTGAAATAAAAATGGTTTTCATGTACATAGCTGGATATATTACAAGAAATGATAATCAACCCAGAGAATATGAAACTCATTTTTATTATGAAATGTATGGAAAATATACCAATTCAATTGACTGCAGAAAACTAAAGTTTCCTTCTGCCACATTTGTCAATAGTTATTTTTTTTTGTTTTATCCTTTTCCATACAATAAAAGAAAAGGTGTGTTAAAAATCATTAAAAAAGATTTTTGTTCTTATTTCTGAGTTTCATTTTTTCAACATGAAGAGAAAATAGTCTCATATTTTTGCAAATATAGTTTTGAAAAATACTTGTTTGCAAACATTACACACCAAGATCAGACAAAGAACCTGCTTTAAAGGTTTTGAAACTGTCCTAGAATGATTTTGTTTTTTATCTGGCTATATTTCTGAGATGATTAATATTTCAGTTAATGTCTTCCATCCTTCTTCAGGCACTGCTTGTTGAACTCGTTAACTTTAATGAAAATTTGAACCAGACTCTTTATTCAATCCTTGGGGTAGATTGAATAAAAGCTTCAGGGATACATGTAAATAGTGTGAATGTTTCTCTTTCAACATTATGTGGGTCATATCTTTTACCAGAAATTTTAACTACATTTTTGTTTTGTTTTATCACAACAAAAATAAATATTTTCATTTATTCAACACATCCTATTATCCTCAGGTATTGGTTAAAATATTATTCGATGTATTTTCAAAAATAATTAAATTTTCTTCCAAAATTTCTGAAAATCACACATTTTTAAGTAGGCCACCAGTTCCGGTTTTCAGTTGTGCCATGAGCAGACCTCTTATAGAGAACGTCATGGTTAGCACTTAAAAAACCCATAAAAATTATTATCATGTAATCTTGAACTTAGTCTTCAGGCCACACACGCACGCACACACACACACACACACACACACACAAAATCACACACATATCTATATCTGTGTGTATCCTTTATATTTAATAAAATACAGTTAAATTAAGCTACAGTTGTACTAGTAATTTAGAAATTACAATAAAAAGACAAAACGCCAGAAATGTCAAAACTAATGTGCAGCAACACATCAACAGTAGTATATGCAACTGTAGAAATAAAAGTAAATGCTCATTAAATGGAATTTGCAAAACTGAAGCAGGAATTTACAAAGCATAATTAATAGACACAAATGGCCAGAAAAAATATACATAGGGTTTAGTGAATGTAACTTTAAGAAGATGTGATATAATCATCTTTTAAGCCAAAAAGTCTTAGGAATTCTATTAGACTAGTCAAACATGTAATGAAATTAAAGGAAAATATAAGAAAGATCTGATTGTAAATTGGAAAATTTAAAAAAAAGACAAACCTTACAACAACCATAATAATATCTGCAACCTTTGTCAGTAAGAAAAGTTAGCCATAATAACATTTCCAGACCAAAAAATCTATTGAATGAGAAATCGGAAATTATGACCCGTTGCACACACACTAAAAAGTTCTTTTTGAGTTCATATGAACCAGGATGAATAGAAAGTATCTGTCTATATTTCTAAGATGAGGTATTATGTACATTCTTTACATTATTCGGATATTGTCCTCATCTTTGTCGCCATATTTATTACACCGTTCCGGCCGTTGTACGCTTCATCAAGTGGTTTGAATGTAGAACTGAACCCTTTATTTCGCTCACTGTGGTAGACTGTTCTAGTTCCACGTGCCACATTTTAATGGATGTCAGTTATCTCCTGTTAATTTTCCCTCTGAAAGTTCTCCACTGCCTTAGCCGGGCATTGAACTCACACTCTTTGGATCCTGTCACTTGATCTAACTAACGCCTTTATCCATTGTGCCATGTGTTCTTGAGGAAATCTGGGTATGAATTTCTGGGTATAAGCGTGGAAAATGTAATCGGAGTGACAAGTTCGTTGCGTTCAATTTCGCACCAATATCATTGGGAAATATATGAATCCATCTCTTTCTTTCCAGCTATAGGTTAAATAGCAACTTAGAATGGTCTCTCTTTTTTTTGCATTAAGTAACCCCCACTTTCTTTTCCTTCTTTCTGTAGCCTCTACTTTCTTTCCTTCTTTCTGTCATCCCCTTCTCTCTCTCTCACACATGAAGCCCTCTCTTTTCTTTCTGTGGCCTTGTTTCTCTTTCATTCTTTCTGTAGACCCTCCTCTCTTTCCTTCTTTCTGTAGCCCCCTCTCACTTTCCTTCTTTGTGTAGTCCCATTTTTCTTTCATTCTTTCTGTAGAGCCTCTCTCTTTCTTTCATTCTGTAGCCTCCACTCTCTTTCCTTCTTTCTGTAGCCTCTTCTCTCCTTCTTTCTTTCTGGATCCACCTATGTCTGTCCGTCTTTCTTTAGCTCCCTCTCTCTTTCCTTCTTTCTGTCGATCCCTCTCTCTTTTTGAAGCCCCTCTCTCTTTCCTTCATTCTATAACCCCCTCTCTTTCGCTATTTCTGTAGTCCCGTTTCTCTTTCCTTCTTTCTGTCGCCCTTCTCTCCATCCGTCTTTCTGCATCCACCTCTCTCTGTCTGTAACGCCCTCTCTTTTTCATTCTTTCTGTAGCTCCCTTTCTCTTTCCTTTTTTCTTTAGCCCCCCTCTATCTTTACTTACATTCTTTTTGTTGACCCTTCTCTCTTCATTCTTTCTGTAGCCCCGCCTCTCTTTCTTTTTTTCCGCAGAGCCGTCTCTCTTTCCTTCTTTTTGTCGCCCCCTCTCTATCTCTTTTCATCTGCATCCCCGTGTCTCTTCTTTCTGTAGCTCTCTCTCTTTTCCTTTTTCTGATAAACCTTTTTTCTGACTTTTCTGTAGCCGTCCCTTCTCTTCTTTCTATGGTCTTTCTTTTTCTTTAGCTACTCAGTATTCCTTCCTCTACGCAGCCCTCCTTTCCTCTTTCAATAGCCTCTCTCTCTCTTCTGTATTACTGAAGACCCCTCTCTTTTGACGTCTTTCTTGAATCTTCTCTTTTCTCTTCTTCCGATAGCCCCTCTCCCTTCTCATATTTCTTCGGCCCACTTTTTGGTATCGCCCCTCTCTTTTTCCTAACTCCATTCTCTCTCACTGCTCTTCAGTCTGCATTTCATTGCTCTCTTCTTTTTATTTATTCTATCCTGCTTCCATTTTGCAGAACCTACTTCTCTTTACCTTTATTTCTCTAACTCATCTCTCTTTGCCGTCTACGCCCGATTCACTTTTATAAGCTCGTCTTTCTACTTTCTATCTCTCATCTCCCTTCTTTTTTTCACCCTCCTCTGTTCCCTTTTTTATTTCTATAACTGTTTTTTTTCCTTCTTTACATTTTATTCTTTTCTCACTTTTTTCCGTATTTATCTCTTATCGCACTTCTTCTGAATTGCTCATACTCCACTCCTATAAGAATTGACCAACAAACGCGTTCCACTCCCTGCCATCATCTTATCATCACACTCCTTTCTTTTAACTGCGCGTATTTCAAGCGATTTATGAAAATCACGTTAAGCCACGCAACTTCGCGTCAGGACTAAGTCGATCATGAAGGTCAGAGGTACACCTATCGTAGAAATTGGTTCTCTTAACTCTCTTCCCTGTATAAGTAATTACCAAAGCTTCCTTGTTTTTATCTTAGTCAAGTGACTGTCCGTTTTAGCGTCGCAAATCGGCAAAACGTTCCCAACCCCAGACTCGCTGTCTTCACTCGTTTAATCTACCATACATAATTTCCGTTATCTCAAACGACTCAGCCGCTTAAAAAGGGAATTCAGACCATTTAACCTTGTGCACTTGAGGCACATGAAATGCTTTTCGTAGACTGACCCCACGAGGTCACTCGGGCAAGGCCTTCCTTATTTTCGCGTGTGTTGGTTGAATGAATTCTATTAGCGAAACACGCTTGACCACTTGCCGCAGAACCATCCTGTGACTGACGAGGAGAATTTCATTTTGCTTTCGGTTATTTTTCGTCGATTAGCTTCACGATCCTCAAACCGAAAAATATTGAATGTGACAAAAGAGAATGATTTTAATGTATAAAAATGGAAAGCATTTGTTCGGAAAATAGAGTCACACTCTTATCGAAAAAACATCTGCATTGTATGCATATACAAAGCATAATGTACACACACGCACATACGAGCATATATATATATATATATATATATATATATATATATATATATATATGTAGTCTACATTCTTTCGTACTAACGCGGGTGTTTCCGAGGACTTCATCTTTGGTTCTACGTTCTTTTTAATCTTCATTAATGACCTTCCCGATGACATCAGCCTCTCAACTTGGCATCTACGCTGACGAAACTACCATTTAATACAGCCTCGATGTAAGGCTTATCTTTCAGACAAGGTCAAAATGGCAGCTGATGTACAAAATGACCTCAAGACCGTCATTAACTCGGACAAAAGATGACTTGTCAATTTGAATTCCTCCAAAATTAAACTTTTTTCCGTTAATCATGTGAGACCCTTCTCTGCATGGCTGATGCTATCCTCCAAGAAAATGACTCATTGCAACTTTTCGGGCTAACATTCTTAGTTGACATGAGTTGGGAAGACTATATTGAATCCATTGATAGATAAGCTGGAAAGAAAGTCGGTTCACTCTGTTGGGCGAAACAGTTTTTTTCTCTGGAATCTATTTTACATATCTATATCTACCATTCGTTCAGGCTTAGATTATTGCTGTCATATATGGTCCGGTGCCACTGTTATTTCCTGGAGCTCCTCCATAATGTGCAAAGAAGAATCAGCAAGGTCGATAATGGGTATGTCCCCATTCGCATAAATACAATATATTGGTCTGCAGTTGGAGATTCATCGTGGAATTCACTTGACTCACTTTTAGCAGTTGACTACTTCTACGTACCGCTAACGAATCTTATATGTGTTGCTCTTGTCCTAAGTATTATCATTCATTTCCAACATTCGTTTCATTATTCTCTTCAATGACTTATTCTTAGGCTACAACAATATATAAAATCTTAAGGAAAGAGATCATAATTTATTATAAAAATAGGATACACAAGTATCACAGCGTTTAAAAATTAAGGCACCTTTCGGTCGACACTTCTTAGGGGCCTTATATTTTAAACGCTGTGATACTTTTGTATCCTATTTTTATAATAAATTATGATCCCTTTCCTTAAGATTATTTTATCCTGGTGTGGCAACGACAACCTGTTTATATATATATATATATATATATATATATATATATATATGTGTGTGTGTATGTGTTTCTTCACTTATCTTGTAAATGTCTCGTCTGATTTTCTTGCTAACAAATTTACTTTTCAGTAGACTTGGAGGTAAATTCTCTAAATTAAGGTGTAAATATAAATATGGAATCCCGCTAAAATCAGAGCAGATTAATCTCAAATTTAATTTATTTATTATTATTAATGTTTTATTAATGTTTTATCAATGTTTTATTAATGTTTTATTTCTTGGTATCGACCATAATAGTTACAAAGACATAAAAATACTTTGATAAGGAGTTATCATTATTTACACTATTTACATACGGACTATTTCGTAACATCGTAATTGTGTGTTTGATTTCTGAGCCGAGTTGTGGAACCAGTGAAAATGGGACGAGAAATAACTGAGCAGTACTAAAATAAGAGCTAGACGATATATCCCGAGACATGGTCAGTGGAACGAGAACAGTCTACCATTGTAGATTAAAGAAATTGTTTCCGCCTATTGTCCAGTCTTCCCCAGTCTTTTGAACAGGAGTAGAGATTTATCTTTTATTTCCTGTTTAGGATTGTGTTTCTAGTTCCTTCTAAAGTCTACTTCCACACTAGACTTCTAATGTCTCTGACTGAACTCAGAAATGTTATTCACTAATTAAGTCTTGACTTCTTCAAATTTAGAGTTAGCTGTTATCTTTCTTGCATAGCGCCAAGAACTTCTCTCCCTTTTTTACGCTAATACAGCACCTCACATTGACTCTCGACATTGACTGGCACTTGCGATTTGGATTGGATGAAAATTATTTAAAAAAAAAAAAAAAGAAAAGAAAAAACGAATAAAAAGTAAGGAATTCCCTGTAGGTTACTCGGATTGGCATATACCTGATGAAGGCCTGGGCGCACAACGACCGAAGCATTGTGATAATAGCAATACATATGAGGACAACAGTGCGAATGTAAAAAGGGTAAATAATAATAATAATAATAATAATAATGATACTACTACTACTACTACTACTAATACTACTACTACTACTACTACTACTACTAATACTGCCTTATTATGTCAGCACAAGATTTCCAACTATTGCCTACAAGGCTAAAATCAACGGACATGGCTCAAATCCAGCGTTTCGCTTATGCCATAAATTTGACGAAACTGTTGATCAGATAATATCAAGGCGCCCAATCCTTTCTGAATAAGAATATTAGACATGACAGGCTTGGGCAATATATTCATTGACATGTCTTTTCTAACTATATATTTGGAAGTCCCGGATGCATGGTACAAACACTACCCAAATGATGTTACAAATACTGATGGAATGACTATACTGTTTAATTTCACAATCTTCAAAGACAAGAAGATTTATGCAAATAGACCAAACAGAGTCATAAAGAAGAACCTGCCAACTAATTGATATGATTTGTCCATTGGATTCCAATGTTTCTAAAAAAAGCATTTCAAATGCTGTCAAATTGTAAGTACCTTCAAATCGAAGTAACAAATCTGTGGAAACTTAAAACTATAAGTTTCCCTGTTGTGATAGGGACCTTGGGTATGATAAAGAAAGGTACCGAAAATCACGTGAGGAAAATTCCTGGACACATCAGCGTCTCAGAATTACTTTGTCCGCAAAACTCTCTTCATCTAAACGAAACGTTCCCCAACTCTCCTAAAGTACCCTTTTTACTCACAGACACAGGAGGGGGACTTGATAATTAAGTACTTAAAATTACTCTTTGGCAAGATGACATCACACGCAACAACAACAACAACAACAACAATAATAATAATAATAATAATAATAATAATAATAATAATGAAGAATGTATTTAAAAAAAAACAAAAAACAAACAAACAGTCGACCAGTGTATTTGTGGAGGATAACACCTTCAAAGGAACGAAAATCTTTGTAAGTAAAGAAAAATGAAATAGTGAATTAATCGTAAACATAAAACACAATGATCAAACGTATCCTTCCTATTCCGAGTTTTGTAGCCATGGTATCTGCTTGTCATGTGACACTCAGGGTGGGGAAGAAAAGCCTGAACACTGTATTTTATATGCTTTTCTTTAATCAACTCACCCCAAGCAAGGCGATAACGCCACTAAGACACAAGGTGTGTGTGTGGGGGGAAGTTAATGGAAGTGAGAAAGAGTGAAAGACTTTAGAAGGAACTGGAACTCCAATGAGTTTAAGTTAAAGTAGAATTTTGAAGAAACCAATCCTAAAAAAAGAAACAAAGGAAAAAAAAAAAAGCTCTACACCTGATCAACAGACCAGGAAGGATTATAAACCAAATGATAGGTGAACCTATCTACTCCTACTGTGGAAAATATAGACGAATAAATAAATAGTAAAAATTTCAGAGTTTATATATATATATATATATATATATATATATATATATATATATATTTATATTTTATCTTAAATGTAATTTTTAGTGGATCCGCAATTTTGAGTAATTGCTCAGTTTACTTATTAAGCAGTATGTTTATATATTTTCGTTTAACAGCCTGAATATTCGAGAAACACTATAAAAGAAAAAATGCACCCTCTGGCAGGATTCGAACGTGTGTCCTCTTTAGCAGAGGAATCCGTCGTTAGATCCGACGTGCTTTAGACCAGCTCTGCTACAAAGAGTCTTACCGATAGAACAAAAGCGATTACTGCCCTATAAGCGCCTAATCACTTCAAAGATTCTCGAAAGCTTCATATCTGCTCAGTTTACGTAAACAAAGTAATTATTAAAGAGTTAATGAATTTTTTCTTTATAACTCCGACATAGTTTATCACTTTAAAAAAAGGTGCAATGTTGTAAGAAGCTGGATGTGAATTTACTGTGGGTGATCTCGCAATTAAAGAACTTTCTATAATAGAAATATATATATATATATATATATATATATATATATATATATATATATATATAGATATATTGTCTTTTTTTTCAAATATATTTTCTGAGATCAATGTAACTGCTCTTATTGAAAGCCTCTGAGTTGTCCATCGATAAGTATTGAACATTTTTACTTTTATCTTAATAATAATATACAGGCATATTAAATATATATATATATATATATATATATATATATATATATATATATATATGCAAGATTCATAAAATATGACAAAGTACTTTGATAATGTTTTT